TGGAGCAGCCCAAGTTCTGGTACTGCTCAAATACAAAAGCTGTACTGCAGGTGGTCGTGTGATAGTTGTGTCCAGTACAAAGAGTTCAGGTTTGGTATTAAGAGGCTGAGTTTGAACCGCAGGACAGACTTGGTTGGAAATGACTTCTGGTGAGGCTAACCACTGCATTCCATCGGGTTGCTGAGGGCTGCATCTGTCCAGATCTTGAAAGACTTTGAGGCTGGAGATTGTGTCACCACTCTAGGCAACCTGTGCCAGGCCTAAAGTAGTACTTAATTATTACTGTGAAGAGCTTTTTCCTTGCTCTATCTTGTCCTTTTGCTGTGAGCCTGTAAGAACAGTCTTGTAGTGGAAGACTATTGAGTGTTACCCTCTTCCCTCCTCAGCCTTCTTTATTCCAGGTTAAGTATATCTGTTTCCCTCAGACTCTCCCCCTGTGTCCATGTACATCAGCCCTCCCCTGCCCACCTCTGCTGAGCTTTCCCCAGTTGATCACTATCCTCCTGTTTCTTTATTGTGGAGCTAGCAGGTGTAGGGTATGGGATTATAGGTTTGACAGCTGTGCTTTATCCAGCAGGGTAGCGAGTGAATAACTGCCAATGCATCTAGAAATTATTTTTGAAGTTCTGTGCTTTCTGATCTAGGTATGTCCTACTGAAAGAAAAAAACATGCTATTAACTTTAGAGCAAGAATCAAAACGACAACTCAAGCCTATGCCAAGTCCAGAAAGATTAAAAAAGGTAACTTTTTCATACTAGCTAAAATTATAACTCTAAGTCTTTAACGAAATACCAGACGGTCAGTTATTTCGTATCTGTTCTGCTTGTAAGTTAGGGTTTTAAAGCACCCATTCTTTACTGTTCCAAATTCAGCTGTTTCATTCAGTCAGTGCACAACTGTGAGATTACTCATGATGGAACTCCCTAGTGTATTTTACCTTTGAGTGTATTTTTAACCTTCACTTTTCCTTTACATTTTGCCATAGATCTTCATTTAAGATCTTTTAATTTGTCAGCATTGTGTTTTGTTGGCCCATCCTGAAACTATTTCCTATTTCCAGGTAGAAAGATCTATGAAAAATATAGACTTGGTTGTCAGAGAAAGAGAAATTGCTTTGAGGCTTTTACAAACTGGCCATGAAAAACCAGTACCTGGTGAGTGGAGACATGACTTCCTAGGACGCACCTACTGGTATGGAAAAGAGAATTTTTGTTTTGAATGTATGAATTTTTCTCGTACTATGTCTCTTTACCAGAAAATCTTTATCTAATCAAGAAAGGATGTATATATTGTATAGAAAGAAACATGTTTTCTCATCAGCATTCAGGTGCTTCTTGAGTTTCTGGGGGGGGGGGGGGGGGGGGGG